CCCCAAACAATCTATAAGTAAAGTGCAACTCCAATCCAAATTCGAACTCCATTCTTTAAAGAACTGAAAAAACGGATTACTAACTTTATATGGGGAGGACTCAGAATAAGCACAGCACTCCTTAAGAAGTACCAAGCAGGAGGCCTCTCACTTCCCAACCTCAAAACGTATTACACAGCCACAGTGGTAAAACAGTCTGGCACTGGTACAGCGATAGATACAAAGGCTAATGGAACAAAAGAGAGAACCCAGAAATAAATCCATCCACTTCCAGACAAGTGATCTTCTTTTTGGTGTGTGTTGTTATTGTTTGAAGTGAACTTGTTTGTCACAAGACGGCAATCCATTTCAGTTTTACTTTTCCTCCTTTTTCCTATAAGCCACTCAGACCACTGTTTAGGTTTGAGGGCTAAGGAATCTAAAGGACAGTCGATCGTTGGCAGAGGGTTAAGTATTCACGAAGCGGAAAGAGTCTCTTCAACAATGGTGCTGGAAAAATTGGATCTCCATCTGCAGACAATGTAGCCGGACCTAAAACGCGCCCCGTACACAAAAACAAATTCAAGGTGGATCTAAGACCTAAATATAACTCCCAGAGCCATCGAGACCATCAGCAAGAAAATGGGAACAAACATAAGGGCCCTATTGGAGGGCATTGATCGGCACTATCAACTGTAACAAAGGAAACACACAGTACAAGACAAAATAGATGACTGGAACCTACTAAAACTAAGACACAGAGGCGTATCAAAAGATGCCACTCAAAAAGTAAAAAGTGAGCCTGAAGCCTGGGGAAAATTGTTTTAGCAATGACACAATGGACAAAGGATGAATTTTAAAAATCTTAAAAAAACAGCAATATCTCAAAAAGAAAAAGACAAATCACCCATGTAGAAATGGTCCAAGGACACGAACAGACAGTTCACCAAGGATGACCTACAAATGACCAACACACAGATGAAGAAATGCTCACGACCACTAGCCATCGGGAGATGCCAATCAAAGCAACGATGAGATACTACCTTATATTGTCAATGGCAGCCAAATTAAAAACAAAACAAATAACCAGAAAACAACAAATGTTAGAGAGGGCGTGGAGAGATTACAATCCCACTGTTAGTGGATCAGTAAATATGTGCAGCTACCATGGGATGTGATATGGTGCTACTTCAAACAACTGGGAGTAGAAAGTCCATATGATCCAGCAATACCTCTGCTGGGTATATACTCTAAAGAAGTAATTAAGCATTATAGGATGAACAGATATATGCACAC